TATTTTTTCGAGCAACATTTGCTTTACTTAATTTCATTATATTATATATAGATTGTTTGTGGTGCAAAAATGTATTATTCAAATCCACTCTGTCCACACACAATCACAATCGTAAGACTAATTTAACTTTAACATATAATAGCATTATTATGAAAAATGATATTTTGATAAACAATTGGAATTAGGCTGAGCCTGGAACTTGGGGAATTCTGAAACTGTTTCGAAAATCAAATCGAAATCATGTCGAGCTGAAAAATAATCGTTGATCGTTTGATTTTTTTGAAACCGAAAAAATAATTGGTACCGTTTTCGTCCTATACCGTACCGACCCGAGACCGAAATTAAGAATCCCATTATAAGGTCAATGGGTTGGTCTAGCGCACAAGGTTGACTGTCCGAAAATACCTTTATATGAGTGTAACTAATATATTTTATGTCAATTTTGATCCTACATAATGTTGAGAATTTTTAAAATGCAAATAAAGTATAGTAATGATATAAGATATTATACCCACAAGGCTAAACCGGTCTGCCGAACCGGTCGAAGAGGTTGTACCGTGGAGAAGCCTAACCAAGTGGCGGGAAGATTGACCAGTCATGCAGTCGACCAGTCACGCAGTCGACCAATCAAGCAGTCGACCGGTCAATCAGTCAACCAGTCAACCAGTCGACCAGTCAAGTCGACCCCACCAGATCGACCACTCTATGGGTTGGCGGTATTCTGGAGATCGGCCTAGTCACAGGCGCGTGAAGGAGTCTCTAACCGAATTTCAGGGGAATATTCAGAGGAATTATCATCCATGTGCAGAGGACACGTGGCGAGAATACATCGGTTGATAGCGACAACCACCTCTGACAACTCCCGGCACCACCTCTGACATACACGCGGCATGTGAGAGTACGGACGGACAGCTGTGGCAGCCAGCTCACCATACCCGAGCAGCTCTTAGGTCAGGTATCTCACCCCTATATAAAGAGCGGTGAGCCTTTCTTCCTTAACACGATTTCCATTATTCAACTTAAGTATACTCATACTTACTTAAGCATCGGAGACTCTTCACCGGAAAAAACCCCCCGGTGTGAGAGTTATTTGCAGGTTTCCGGCGTTCTACCGGCGAGGACAAAGACGATCTATTCCAAACCGGACCAGGACGTTCACACTTGCATTAAGTAATAACAATTAAGTTTTACTTAAATTTCATGCTTAGTAACATTTGATTTACATTTGAATTTTTCTTGTTATAATTAACTTATTTAAAATGGTATGAAAGCTTAATGAATATTTTTTTAACAAAAAACAATATTATATTTAGTTTGAATATTAAATTTTCAATATTAGTGCACAAATTTATTCTTAACTAAATTTAGAGTTACTTCTAAAGTTGACATCAAAATAAAATTTTTAATATGAGGAAATATTGATGAATGTTGTTTCTTTAAAGCATATATAAATTAAATAATTAAAATTAGAGTTACTTTACAGTTGATTTCAAAATAAAATCTTCAATATGATGAAATATTGATGAGTGTTGTTTTCTAAAACATATAAAAATTAAAATAGAACTAGGTAGTCATTCAAAAAAAAAATTAAAACATAAGAAATATTCAAAGATCCGGACCGAACCATTCCAGACCGAATCATTTCGATAGTCCTAA